TTTCACTAAATTATGTTCTCAAGGGGCATCTATTTTCTTACAAATGACTCAAACATATTCTTCTTTATGGCTGGGCAATACTCCATTGTGTATAAATACTTTTTTTTATCCATTCATCTGTTGATGGACATATGGGCCACTTCTGTAATTTAGCTATTATGAGTCGTGCTGCTATAAACATGGGCATATTTATATAGACACAGGCTCTATAATATGATGTCTTTTACTCATTTGGGAAGGTACCTAAAAGGGGTACAGCTGAGTTGAATGCAATTTCTAGTTTTAGTTTTCTGAAGAATGTCCATGCAGACTTTTTTTTTTGAGACAGGATCTTACTAAATCATTAAATTCCCAGATTAGGCTCAAACTTAAGATCCTCCTGCTTCCTGGTGTTGTGTGAAGATTTAAAAAGCAATCCTGAGAACAGTGCTGGCCCAAAATCTTTGTTAACTTATCTTTAAGTATCATTATTATTATTATCATTACATTGACTATTATACTCAGCTCCTATAGACACATCCATGGAACAATGTAGTATTTCCAAGGGGCCAGGGATTTAGCTCAGTGGTTCCACCACCTGCCTTTGCAAGCACAAGGACCCAAGTTTGATACCTGGTACCAAAAGAAAAAAATTTTTATTTCCAAGATAAATTTAATGTTAACACTAAAGTAATCAACTGTGCATTTTATAATCAACATTTTAATGGCTTTGGTATAATAAACTTGCTTAAAAGACTCTAAAAGGGCAAAAAATATTTTCTGATTTGATTCCATTTTTATTGCATATATATCTTTATTTCATTACTCCTTTAGCTGGGTGCAGTAGTACATGCCTGTAATCTCACCACTTGGAAGGCTGAGGCAGGAAGATTGCCATGAGTTAGAGGCCAGCCAGCTCTATATATTGAGTTCAAGGCCAGCCTAACTACATAGTAAGACCCTGTCTCCAAAATTTTTTTTTTTTTTTTTTTTTTTTTTTGATACAGGGTTTCACTATGTAGTCCAGACTGACCTGGAACTCACTATGTAGCCTAGGCTGGTCTCAAACTCACAGTAAACCTCCTGCCTCAGCCTCCCGAGTGCTGGGATTACAGGTGTGTGCCACCATGTCTGGCTGTCTCTAAAATCTTTAAAAAAAATCATTACTCTTCTAATTAGCAGTTCCAACAGGATGTTTTAGATTACATTAGATCACGATTAAGTCAAAGTGGGTGACATTATAAATAAATGATTTCAGAGACACTTAAGTAACTGCTTTAGCTCTAAAATATAAAACCACCAGTTTGTTCTCTTTTTATAACTATTTCATAGCTGAAAAAAGGCACATTTTCAAGCAGTACTCTTACCACCATCCACCAGGCTGGTCTGCTAACCAGAAATGGGTGTCCGAGATACAAGTGAAGAGCAAGGGAAGAGCTGGGCACAAGGCTCTAGCACTACTTTAACTAGTTAAGTACTATATAAAGGAAATGGACAAACTTTTAAAAAATAACCTACTCGGGTTTCTTTTTGTTTGTTTTCCCAGTGCTAGGGATTGAACCCAGGCCCTTCAACATGTTAGGCCAGTTCTCTACCATTTTTGAGACAGAGTCTTGCCTAGACTGGACTTAAAACTTGTGACCTTCCTGCCTTAGCTTCCTGAGCAGCTGGGATTATAGGTGTGCCTGTAAAGGGACTGTAAATTTGAGGCTTGAATGGTCTGAAATAGCAATTTAATACCAGTGAGACCCTGTCTTGAAAAACAATGGCAATTTAAATCCACTGCAAATTATCTAAGTCAGGACAAACAATACTGAGTTTGACTCGTAAGCACACAAAAGCTAATAAATTAGGAGAAGGGAATTGAGTCAACAGGGGATGCACTATTTTATAAAGTACTGTATCTCTCCTCAAACTTTCAATTCCATGCACTGAAGATAAGGAGTTGTGCTCTGTCTTACACACTAGTCGATCATAATATTTACATTCTAATACTAAGATTATTTTAATGGTATTCTCTCTACAATAATTGTTGTACTTGGGGCAAATGATTTTAGTCAATGATTTCTAAACCTAATAAATTAGCATTATGACAATGTCACTACATTTTACTCCAAGACAGTAGCTCTCATTGAAAATACAGAGGTCAATTTTGCCCCTTATGGGTCACTGCGCAATATCTGAAGACATTTTTAGTTATTAAACTTGTGCAAGGGAGGAGTCAAATTATCAAACAAACTAGGTCGAATTTTCTTGCTCAATTTTAATAGTACTTAAGACAAAAAAAGAAATGGCATTTTAAAAGTAACTTTCATTCTGCTTTAAGATGAAAGAATAGCATCTATATCAAAGCCTATTTTTTAAAAAATCTAATGGCAACTCAAGTTGCCTCTTAGTTATTAGCTCCTATAACTGTCTCTGCTTCCTGTCAACATCAAAATGAGATA